GATGCGTTTTCGTTTAGCTTGCTCCCCCATGCGCTCACTGTATTTTACTGCTACTAAGTATAAATGCAGCCGTTAGATGGTGGACGAGCCTTGCCTCCTATACTTATAGTTAGCAACATTTCAGATGCAATTTGGACATGTAATTACCTCACATTATTATTCAAAGGACTCATCCGAAGATCCCTCTGCATATTTAAGATCTGTGTGGATGCTATTTGTGCGGGACAACGCAACATCAGTTGAAAATGGTGTGATATGTGGGCAAATAGGAAACATTTTTATAGCTCCATTAAGTATCCTGCCGGGATGAGAATAACGTTGTATCGCACCAGATGAAAACGATATCTTCGTAAAGAACGAGAAATAAGTTGGGTAAACTAATAATGATTATCAGTATACCCAGAGAAGCACACAATAAAGAGCCAAAAGCGAGCCCAGCATCCAGCATGTCTGAGAAATAGTGCTGGAAGTTGTATTTGCAACGACGGGAGGTGTAGTGGAGGTGGAAGCAGCCTAGTGTTCCGTGGAAATCCACCTGGTTATCCACGTAGATAACTCGGTGGATAACCCAAGGCCAAAATTCATAGGTGGATAACGTGGATAACTGAAAATCATGTGGGTGTATGGGGTTGTATTAATATGCATTAAATACACTTAAAAAGCTTAAATACCAGGTCTACAAGCTTGTTTCTGCTTGAAGTGAGCTCGAACTAGGATTTAAGCTTGTTTATTTTGGCGGAACTTCATGCGACGTCAAGTCAATGTTTGTTTGGTAACTGGTCGAAACATCGACTCGAAAATGACTGAAAAATTGTGAACTTCAAGTTTTCTCCCTCATCACATGCAGCCGCATCTCAAGGATCGATTAGTTGAGCTTCAACTCTGTCTCGAGGCACTGCCAACAGAGATTCCCATTCCAAAGGAGTCCAAGTACAATTTCTCCAACTTCGGCCCGGATGCTGATTGGACTACAGCGACTCAGAGTTGGATGTCACTGACCCCGAGGATATATCTGAAGATGGCTCAAAAAAAAGCGGATTCTTTTGACGGCGAGGCTTTTGATGCTGCCAGTATCATCAATCTTGACTCCACGACGCTAGCTGATGTGCTTGCTGACAAAGATTTGGCACCCGCAGCACCGAAGAACACTGTCACTCTTCTGCTGGCAAGCACTTTGGTGCAAGAGAAGGCCTTGACCGAAGCAGACTGGGACATGACATAGAGTGTAGGATAGATCTAGACTTGTAAATCAAGCTAAATTTTGCAAAATGCACCATGGATCACAAAATTTTGCAGCACCCGGAATCGCCGGGCCGGTTTTACCGGCAGTGGATATCCACCATACTCACCCGTGGATAACTGACCCTCATTTAGGCCTGGTGGATATCCACAGTGGATAACCCCTCAGAGGGTTATCCACGGAACACTAAAGCAGCCGCTTGTGGTTCAAGTACAAGGATGAGTGGGCCTGAGCTGCACCGCTGGATTGTTGTGTGACATTGCTAGTGAATTGCTTGCAGTGGCGATTTTTAAAGTTGGCTTCCGTTTCTCTCTTGCCGACGCGTTCCCCGGTGTGGTATGAGATTGTGTTTAAATACTCGAGAGGGGAGAAAATGACATACGGATGCATTCAATGAGTCACGTGGGCCGCGCCCAAACGCGGCATAGACCAGTTCGAGCGTGTTTATTTGGTCGGGGCGTAAAGGATATACTATCCTCAGACCTTGCGGTCTCATCGTGCGATCTGCTCAACACTCGTCGACCATCTTCACTCCAGCAGACGGACCCCACCCCGTTTGTATGTTCCATCCATTTTGCGATGGTTTTCCCTGTGTCAATGTCCCACAACCTCACTCCACCAACCATACTCCCGTCAACCACCTTCCCGTCCGGAAACAACGCTATTGTACGCACTGGACTTTCTCCGTCCCGCCAGTCGTCTCCAATCTGTTTCCCACTCTTCATACCCGCAGCGAGCCGTCCCACAAACAAGTCATCATCCACTTTCCGTCTGGCAGATGTATAGCGCCACTGATTTATTCCGTGTGTCCTTCAAATTTCTGGCGGGACATTATCCTTGATGTCTCACCCGCCAAAATGACGGGTGAAGACATAATCAACCCCCGCGCGCAGTTGCGTCTCAGCTTTCATCCAACAAACTTCAAAAGCATCACCTACGACGATATGCTCCTTGGCGGGTGCCAGTGTCTTGACACCAAGACTCAATGAGCGTTAGGTCAAAAGTGCACTGGAAGTTTGAGCCTGTACGTTTTCCATCATCCTCGCGTCCACATCGTAGCTTACAGCATATTCGGCCGTGCAGCTGAAGCGCCCAAGCCTCGTTTGTGGTCACGAGTCGCATTAATCTCTTTCGATCTTCATTCGGACTGACCGCACACGCTCCACACGACTTTGCCCACCACAACTTCACTCCTCTATCCTGTAACCAGCAGAGTGTCGATCTCTCCCAAGTCAACTGCTCCTTGAAGGCGCCCCTCATCTCGCTAATGCTTGATATCTGCCGAGTGCGTAAACATTTTACTGTATCTTGAAAATTTTCATCGTGCAACCACATAATCCGGACGATGAAACCGTGCCATTGTAAACTTTCACTGACACTCACCTAAAGCCGAGTCCAATGACAGACAATAATCTTGCAAGAAAGGATGTTCAAGGAGGTTTTTGAGTACGAGAGTCACGATTTCTCTGATCATCTGGGCTACGAATAATATATTCTCTGCCATTGGTTTTGCACACAGCTGTAAGGGAACTAATTGCCACAAAAAATTACAGACGGCATGATATTTAAATTCTGCAGAACCCTAGTCTCCCCTAGTCCGACCATATAGAAGGAAGACAGTGAGTTGTTCCTTCTTGATTACAGAACCCACTCCCCACTCAAGTGGGTGTCGGGGATATCTTCATCTCATCTTTCTGCCAGTTCACTCATGCACCTCACACTAGTTAACCAATGAGGCATCAGGTCCGCACATATACGCGAATTCGTCGGTTGAACGTTGCACTGTATCCGTTGAGCACCCGGCTGCATCAGCCGTGAGCACGTGGTCTAAAGTCTGCACGTAGATCGCAAAAGTGCTTACCAGGGTCGTCGCAGGGTAGGTCCTTTGGTGTTATTATCAAGCTGTCAGATGCGATAGCTACGCCAGTCATCGCTGCGACAGATATGATCATGGTAGTGAGTGAGATGAATTTCATCGTTGAAATCTGACGTTACCCTGAGTCAAAATTATGTTGGCTTTTATATACAGGTAGTGTAGGGGCAGCCAACCTTCATGCACTCGCATGACTGGATAACTAGATGCCAGCTCACGCTCTGTGACATTGTCGGGTGCACTTAATTTTCAGGCTTGCAATCACTCACTATATTTCAAACCTAGGCCGCGAGGCCAAGCCGCAGCTTTTGTGTTCGAAGTATGCGAAAGTGACATTGTGGGTGCTGGCGAATGCTATATGGATAACGGTAATCGGGGCCAAGTGTCACGGGGTGCTGGCGGATGGGCGGTGGCGTATGATCTCGGCAGAATTAGAGGTGTGATACTACTCACAATCAGATCGTCGATATCAACTGAGTACTTAGCTTGGAATCACGAACGTTGACTGGATGACAATATCAGTCAAGCAAATACACTTCGACTCGCTGCGCCTATTACTGGGAGAAGTCAAGGCTTGAGCCGCTAGCTAAGTTAGGATTCAAGCCTATTTAGGGCCGGGCTGGCCCCACTCGAGGTACATTTGGGATCTCGGGATTCTGCCCCGTTCTATGGTGAACGGGGAGAAATTCCGCGAGTCAAATATTTTGTGGAGTTCACCCGCATGTACTAAGGCTGCGAGAAGGTCGCCCTTTTGAGACATATTGAGAAACATTGGCGGCTTGTAGGCAAGTGTTTTTGTTCACTCATTAGATTCACTCATCATATTCGAACTCTTGACTTGTAGACTATAACAGCTAAGAGGTACACTCCTGATTCTTTTCTGTCTTAAACAGCATGGTCTCTTGGTGTGACATCATCGACATCGAGAATGCCACTCTGTAGCGTCGTTGCAATTGTCGTTGACAGCGAATCACGTACTGTATCGAAGCGTTTTCTTTTGGCTTTCTCCCTCATGTGCTCATTCTGTATCTTACTGCTACTAACTATATGACGCAGTCGACGAGCCTTGCTTCCTGTACCTATAGTTGGCAAATTTTCAAGATGCACTTTAGATATGTAATTACCTCGCAGTTCTATTCGAAGGACTCATACAAAGATCCCTTTGCATAGTTTAGATCTGAGAGTGAATGCTATTTGTCGGAACAACAAAAATACCAGTTCAAATGGTTTGGTGCGAGGGTAGATGCGAAGCAACTTGATGTGTGCTGCAGGGATGAGATGAACATCATAGCATGTCAGATGAAAACAGAGATCTTCATAACGAACGAGAAAACAAGCCAGGTAAACTAATGTTGACCGTCGGTATACTCAGAAGAAGCACAACAGATAAAGAGCCAAAACCGAGTCCAGCGCCCAGCGTGTCTCAGTATTATATGCGGATTAGTGCCGGAAGTTGCATTGGCAACGACGGGAGGTGCGGTGGAGGTGGAGGTAGCCGCCTGTGGTTGCGAAGATGACTGAGCCTGAGCTGCGCCGCTAGATTGTTGTGTGGCATTGGTATTGGGAGGGCGTGAACTGCTTGCAGTGGCAATTTTCAAAGCTGGTCTCCGTTTCTCTCTTGCACACGCGTTCCTCTGTGTGATATGAGATGGGGTTTGAATATCCGAGAGAAAAGAAAATGACATACGCGTTTGCCCTTAGCATACGGGACGTCACCGACTGCTGGGCAACACTCATGCAGCTCGATCTGTGCACTACTAGGTCTGCTAGAGAAGATATCTCGAGCCCATTGAAACAGGGATTGGAATTTCGCATCGTGGGGATCGGATCGTGCAGATCGCTGAGAACATCAAGGTCAATATAAATAGTACTAGATGAGACATGGGCGACATACGTGAGGATGTGGTGAGTCGTCGAAAAACCCCTGGGGTACACGGTTGTAAACCTTGATTGGCTGGACCGGACGTCGTGTTGTATTAATCGTCTAGAATGTATATGTTTAATTGCAGCGAGGAAATCTGCGATGAAAGCGTCACGTACAGTGAGTACCGACTTGTCACGCTGGTCCAACAGTAGGTCTTCGAGGTCAGCTTCTTTTAATATCGCTGAAACATCCCACATGTATGCGTTTTCGTCATAGCAGCCAGTGGCTAGTAGCTTTCCATCTGCCGAAAATGACACAGAAACCACCGTGTCTGCATGGTGGAGGGGCGAACCGATGTGTTGGCCGTTCTCGAGGTTCCATAATCGCGCTGTCTTGTCAAACGACGCGCTTGCGAGGATACGGCCATTCGGAGATATCGCAATGGCGTAGACTGCGTCGGTGTGCCCTTTCAGCACTGCAACGTGTTTCCAAGTTTTAGTATTCCATGTCCTAATTGAGTTATCAGATCCCAATGACCCGGAGATAAGCGCTTTTCCATCCGCGGTCCAAGCCAGGCAGGACATTGTGTGTCTGTTGAGAGCAGTGGCGACAAGCTTGCCAGTCTTCACATCCCAGATTTTGATCGGGACCTCGGAATTGTTCGAAGTCCAGTCGCTTCCAGTAGTTGCAACCATGGACATGTCTGGCGAGTAGACGGCTGCCCACACGCTTCGGTGCCCTATCTCGATTGGACCGAGTGTTGTCTCTCCGTTCTCTACATCCCACTCCCTTGCAGTCCCATCGAAAGATCCGCTCAACACTCGCCGACCGTCTTCACTCCAGCAGAAAGAGCGTACCCCGCCTGTATGTCCCATCCATTTCGCGATGATTTTCCCTGTGTCAATGTCCCACAACCTCACTCCACCATCCCTACTCCCGCTAATCACCTTCTTCCCGTCCGGAGACAACGCTCTTGTCCACACTTCACTTTTTCCGTCCTGCCAGTCGTCTCCAATCTGTTTCCCACTCTTCAAGTCCCATACCCGCAGCGAGCCGTCTAACGAACAAGTCATTATCCGCTCTCCGCCTGGCAGATGTATGGCGCCTGAGACCCAACCAGTGTGTCCCTCAAATTTCTGGCGGGGCGTTATTGCTGATGCCTGCTTTCTAACGATAGGTAAAGACATAATCAACCACTAGCCGCAACTGCGTCCAGCTTTCATCCAAGAAAGTTCAAAAGCATCA